ATAAATAATGGGGAACCAACTCCCATCTAAACCCTAGGGGTTGTGACTTCCTTGCTACATCTATGGGTCATGTGCTTTCAGTAGTACGGACCCATATTACCTTCCACACCTACCCATATTTGTCTCAAGTATCATCATAACGCCCTAACAATATACATAAGCATAGCGAGCGCTCACTCCTCATTCCTAGAGGAAGGCTAAATATTTTATAACTGGTCGAACGACCCTGCATAGCTCACCCATGAAACTTCCACCAACCCTATAGCACTCGTGTATGCTAGCCATACATAACGTTGGACCCTACAAAATTTCGAATACATGATCCTACCCTATGCCCTTCATCAAACAAGAACATGAAATAAGGCCAAACAAACATTCTCAGGCTATAAAATCTTAATTATGTACGACCGTGATGCATACACTAAGCAACTATAGTAATGATATCAATTTCATATAAGGAAAAACCCTAGGCTATTAGGCATCATATAAACAGGCAAATATATCATGCAATTCCCGAAGATCCCTAGCCTAGTACTAACATGTTGTTCTAACATATCACAAAATCAAATAATCTGTAAGGTATTTTGGGGTCTACTTACTGACACCGTTTGATCGTACACTTCGCATCCTCCTTTCGTATTTTAAAAACCATTTGAAGAAAATCATTTTAAAATCTTGTCCTTGGTTTGAGACTGGATACATACGAGTGTTTCCTCCAATTCACTCAAACCAAGGCTCTGATACCAACTTGTAACATCCATAAAATTCAAGCCAATTTAAAACTTTTAAATAATTTAAAAACTAGTAATTATTACAAATTTGTTTTCAAAATGGTTTTCATTTCAGAGTATCCCAGATTCAAATCATAAAAATATAAGGTGGTGCACGATCACGCCTTCGCCTTCCCACGATCATCTGAAGTACCCGAAACAAAATCCAAAACTATAAGTCTGAAGCTTAGTGAGTTCCCCCAAAATACCAACACTATACAAGTCTTAGTTGTATCATAGCAGACAAATAAACAGCATGTATAATGAGCCATCAGCCTGACTGGACTGCCTCGCAGGGCCATCAGTTTACCTGAACCGCTCTGCGAGCCATCGACACGTCTGGACCGCCTCTTAGAGCCTTTAGTATATCCAGACCGCTCGTCGGGCCTTTGGCCTGACTAGTACGCTGTGACATCCCCAAAATCACGGCCAGAAAAGACCGATTTTGTTTATGCTTTGTGAAAATCAGAGTACTTCATTTTATAAAAAGGTTGCGGAATTTGTTCCCAGAAAAAAACACGATAAATACGTTATTAAAACATTTTCGAAGAAACGTATTTTTATTCATCTTAAAACGTTTGGGATGTCATCGTTAATACAGAAACATAAGCATAAACAGAACTTACAATTATTTACACTAGTGATCTACATCTCTTTAAATCTCTCAGTGTAATGTCACTTCATTTCGTCGCCTGTGATATACATAAACTGAGTGGGTCAGGTTGGGAAACCTGGTGAGTACATAGGGTTTTCAACCCACAATAATATAATTATTATGTTTAATCAAACAATCAACCCAATTACCCATCCCCATTATCTTCTTTACTCTTTAAGGATTTAACCTAAGAGTCATCTATCCTTCATTCGTTTATTCCGAAGTCCCTTACTTCCAGGGTTCTAGGACTAGCACTAAATCCATAGCTGCCGATATTCGTTCGTAAAGCACTAATTCCATAGCTGCTATATCTTACTCATCGGGTACTAAATTCATAGCTACCCGTGCTCAACAGGTACTAAGTCCATAGCTACCAATTCCTACAGGTACTAAATCCATAGCTACCAGCGTCTAACAAATAGGTACTAAGTCCATAGCTACCAACTCCTAACAGGTACTAAATCCATAGCTACCAACGTCTGACAGGTACTAAGTCCATAGCTACCAGTGTTTGTCCCGTAGGCACTAAGTCTATAGCTGCCAATGTATACTCACATCATCTTCTATCTCTCATCATTCATCTACCCATCTCATACCCAACATATTCGTATATATAAAATACGTATACAGTTTAAGTTCTTTAAAACATGTATAAAACCTTCATCCATTATAGACAACAAGTATTCAGATAATATGCACACATAACACGTAGTTTATATAAAATACTTCATAGCTATGTGTAAGATGAAAGGGACCATGCACTCACAACACGTAAATTATATAATAAATACTTCATATCTATGTGTAAGATGAAAAGGACCATGCACTCACAACACGTAAATTATATAATAAATACTTCATATCTATGTGTAAGATGAAAGTAACTATGCACTCACCTGAGTAGGTGGTGACTCAGCACTCGGACAGCGCTTCGATACTCTCAAAACGATATTCCTTCGATAAAACCTAGTACCAGTACCACTAGGGTTTAGTCTAACGATAACCGTGACTAATTAATAGTCTGACTATTATTATTATTATTATATAAGCGTTAAATAACACTCAATATAACTCATAATAATAGCCCAAATTCTCATTATAAGTTCCTAATAATGTTACTATATTAAAACATAAGTTATACTAAAGATAGTGTATGCATAGCTCACTTACAGCGGGTTTCTCGCAAAACCGGGCTTCGCTGGAGCAGCGTTTCCAAGCCGAAAGACCTTTTTTCTCGGGACTCCGGGAGCCTCGGGGCTTCCTTCGGGTGCTAGGGGGTTTACCTAGGCTTTTAGGGGCTTAAGGGAGCTTAGAGAGAGAGTATAGAGAGAGAAAGAAGAAGGTTGAAGGTGTGTGAATGAATGGAACCCGGCACCTCTATTTATAGGGGTGCTGACTGGCCTACTCGCCGAGTAGGGGGGACCTACTCGCCGAGTTGGTCCATGTGGTGGCCTTCTGGTGGTGCCACGTGTCCAATTCTGGTGGTGCCACGTCACCCCTATCGCGTATCAGCCTTCAAACTTAGAAAAATCATAACTTTCGCATACGAGCTCCGTTTTCGACGTTCTTTATATCCACGCGTAGGTAAAATCAAGATCTACAACTTTCATTTAGACTCCGTCAGCTAATTCTCAACCGATCTCAAATTTAACAGTAGGAGGTGTTTAGACTGTTAAATGACCGCGAAGAGTTCATAACTCCTTCATCCGGACTCCGTTTTCGTCTGTGTTTTTACCGTTGAGTTCCTATTAATGAGACCTTCAACTCTCATTTAGGTCGCGTAAGCCAAAAACCGCTCGAACTAAAATTCGAGTTTCGGGACGTGCACTGCTAAGCCGAATCTTAGAAAAATCATAACTTCTTCATACGAAGTCAGATTTGCGCGTTCTTTTTATTGATGTTCTTAGTTTAACATATTCTACGACTTTTGTTTAGATTGCTAAGGCTAAAAAGTCTTCTATCGTAAATTCACTATTTACGTCTCCCGGTGTCGTGCCGGTTTTGCCGTAAAACTTCGGCGGGCCATAACTTCTTCGTTATAACTCGGATTTCGGCGTTCTTTATATGTACGGAAACCTTGTGACATATTCTACAACTTGGTTAAGATTATTTATTATAAATAATCTTTTGTTGAAAAGTCATTTTCGACCCCTATTGCCTCTAAATTGACTAGCCCGGATCTACGGGCGTTACATACGCCCTAATCGGGTCTGCAGTCTATCCGATCCACCCTAAGTATGTTGGCCTAGAGCACAAAGCATGACCGCCTCAACCCAACCCCCAATCCAACAATCATGTGCACATAAATATCATACGTTAGCATATATAACATTCAAACCGATCTAACAGATCACTAATCATAGCATATATAACATTCAAACCAATGTAGATACTAGATCTACAAGCTTCCTATCGTTCCAAGCTTCTTAAATCTTCAAGTTTCTTCAACAAATGCAACAAAACACACTTTAGCCTCTTACACACTCAAGAATACGGTTTGGATTGATTAGATTTGCTTCTGGCCGTCAAAAGGTGGTATGGAGGCTGGAGGAAAGGACTAAAGGTCCTTTAAATAGGGTGCAAACCCTAAAAATTAGGGTTTCCTTGCAGAACCTCTACTTTGTCGAGTTGGGGTCCTCCAACTTGTCGAGTAGAAATCATAAATCACGCAGGCTGACTAGGTTCGACACAACGAGTTGGGGCCTCCAACTCGTCGAGTTCCCTCAATAAAATGAATACAAAGCTTTAAAAATTATACCTCGGAGTTAAGATGTTATAGTACGACATGTCAAAAAATATATGTTCAATTCATCATCGTATCGTCGTAGGTTATAAAGTGGAAGAAAGTTAAGAAATCCTAAAGTTAGATAATGTGTTGTTATTATCTGTATATATTTTTATATCAAATATATATTTTTTATATAAATATACAAACATGCCCCCGTAGGAGTACGGGACGGAAATATCCACTCCTACCCCCGGTCCCGAAAATAAAACTGGATTTAATCTCACTCCCGCCTCCACCTCTGCCCCCAAATTAAAAATAATAATAATAATAATCTCTTTCGGAATCAGGGTTTTACAGAAGTTTTTGACATCCCTTTTCAAATATCATGTTCAAAACTGGGAAATGAAGTTATTCTTTGTCCATATTTATGAAAAAAAAAAAAAAAAAAAAAGGATTGAATCTGTTTGCTAAACCAATGGGTGATTTAAAATTTAAAACATTGATTAATATGTTATGTATAATAAATAGCTATACAATGAAATATCATATCAAAATTAGTCATGGTCATCGTTCTAAATAACATTAGACGTGACTTGGCAGCAATATCAAGATTCAAACTTTTACGAGTTATGGGGAGTCATGTCGTTTATAAAGCGGCAATTTTGTATATAATTAATAGTTTATAAGTTTATATATATATATATATATATATATATATATATATATATATATATATATATATATAACTTAAGGTGACATTTTATCAAAACATGGCAACTAATACAAACCTTAGAGCGATGACATCTAATAAAGCTTTTAGAACCTTGTTCACGAGGCTTTACTATTATTATACGCTTTGGGGAGGCTTTCCACGCACCTTTAATTTTTTTTTTTTTTTTTTTTCAGTCTGAAAAACACACCAAACACATCTTTAATTGTTTACATTAATAAAATCAATAAATTTGTTATGAAAAAAAATCTATATTTTGTTGCTTTTCATTTTCTTGCATTTCCACAAAAATGGTGATTAATTCATTGTAGCTATTTTAAGAAAGTGAACATGGTCGTGAATAACCCAATAAATTATAAACCATCTCTGGATCAATTTTTGTTTCGAGTAAATCAAATCTTGAGACAACTTTTTAAACCAATCAAAGGCCAGAAATCCTCAATTTTCTAACCGATCCATATTGCTTTTCATGAAAGTAAGACAAAACAAGAATATCAACATCCCATTAAGTAGCCAACACACTCTATAACTTAGAAGCCTTTGAACATCACAACCACATATCACGCACAAGACCATGTCAATTTGTATACCTCTCCAATAAGTTCACAAGAGATACAATTTTATTTAGAGCAAGCCTCCACAATAAAATAAAATAAAAAAATAAAAACATTTACTTTTATAGGAATGATCCGATTTCATATCATATCAATGACACCATTAACACCCAACATACGTGCATCAATAATAAGACGATTTGAAGCAACAGTGAATTGTGCAAAACCAACATATCTTTCAATTTATAAAACAAGAAAAAAAACACCAAAAATAACATTCTTTGGAAAATCACTATCTGAATAACTAATAAATAAAATAGACAGATAATAAGAATATAGAAACTTTAGAAAATCACTATTTCGAATCTGTATTATATCAGTTGTGAATTCGTTTTCAAGGAAGAACAGGAAGCTCGATTTGATTAAAAGAAAAGAAACTTACACGTCCATGTTCAACATAACAAAACTTCAGAGGAATGCCTTCACATTGTCCTTCAAGTTCCTCAATCTGTTTCTTGGTTGGTGGGTTGCCACTACAAGAGACAAAAAAAAAAACAATTCAGAGAATATGAATTAGGATGATTTATTTATCAAAGATAACAAAATATGAATTTATAAGGTCATCATCTTACCTAATTATACTGAGAATAAAGATCGGATTGCCTGGATTTGACTTTCTAAACTTGCTATTTGGAGGATAAACATCAAAAACCAGTCTTTTACTTGCTTCATTTATCTCCATACTACTAAACGACTCAGTAACTTCCATTATAGAACTTTTTTCTTCACTTTTACCATGTTTCATGCTCCAACAAACACCATGCCTCTTGATTATATAACCTAATGACTTAAGATGCCTGTAAACCTCAAATGACTCCCATGAAGATCCACCTACACCTTCTGCAACCTTTTTATAAATATCTTCAAGTGGAATACATTTATCCTCATCATCTAACAGATGCAATGCCCCTATCTCTGCCAAAAACCTACACATTATCAAACATTTTATAACATGAAACCAACAAGTTGTAAAGTATTAAGTTTTTTTTGTCTCCTTTGACTTACAATGTATCTTCAAGATAACTATATAGCTTCCCACCACGAACTATCCCTGTTGTTGTCCACAGTTTCCCTTTATTACTAACAATCTCAGCCATTCCCAAATCTTGTTTCCAACGAGCCTTTGATATATTTTTCCTAAATAAGAAAATTACACACGATGTTGTAGGAAAACTTGATAAGAGAAGAGTTAAATGAGAGAGAGAGAGAGAGAGAGAGCACCTAAACTGCAACTTGGGAAAATCACTATATGCATAGCAATGGTCCTCATTATCACTATCAGGTGCAGTTATCTCTGAATCACTTGATCCACCTGCCCAATCTTCGATTTCCATGATTGAAATGATGCTTATGAAGATGGCACCAAAGCTTCAGAACAAGGAGCAGATTCTGAAAACGTGGAAGAAACACATTTAGTCAAAGCAAAAGAATTTCAATGTGATACTAAGAATTATAACCCTAGATGAGAATTACTCGAAGAAACACAGGAGCATATTCGGTAGTCCTAATTCCTTACATACACTCCTAATTTCTAATCCCAATTCCCAAATCAGAAATCGCAACAGGAGAACCGGAGAAGAAAGAAGTCAAGAACGACCCTTACATACACTCTTAATTCCTAATCCCGGATTCCCAAATCAGAAATCACAAGAGAAGAACTGGAGAAGAAAGAACAAAGACCTGATTTCCGGTGAGTGGTGGCTGTTGCGGTGGATCAGTAAATGACGATTGGCGAGGCCGGAGAGTCGGAGACAGCGAGCGACGCACCAGCGACGATGGTCGATGGGGACTGTCGGACCTCGGACAGAACTCAGAAACTGGGTCGATTTCACTTCTTGTCGCTTCAGTCTTTTGTTTGGAAATTGGACTATGGAGAAATCGGGAGGGGCCACAGCCCAATTGTGAAATTAACAGGCCTATAAAACTCAATAAACTTCTGTCGAAGAGTTCGACGAATATTCTTTTCGTTTATGGACTTACGTTCAATACAATAAAACTCAATAATATGTGTTATAATTTATATATCAAAATATATTTTCCAAAGCGTATGGAAAGTCTCCCAAAAATATCACTCAAATATCGTTTTTTAACATGCCTCAAAATACTTAATTTATAACGGGAGTCGTTGATTTTTTTAATTTATAAACGGTCATATTTTACTCTTGTTTAAACTAATATGATGCTACATGATAAACTTAAGCCATTAATATTTGTTTTGGTTGAATCTTTAATTTAACCTCATAAACGGTCATTTTTTACTCTCGTTTAAACTGTATGATGCTACATGGTAAGTTAACTTAAGCCATTAATATTTATTTTGGTCGAACCTTTAATTTAACCCGGTTGTTCATTATCGCCTTATAAAAGGAAGTACGTTGCATGAAATAAGTTTCAAAACCAACTAACCTTAGCCCAATAGTATATTTTTAGGGTTTGAGACTTTGGCCATAGTAGCTTTGGGTTTGAGGCTTGTCGCGATAGTTTTGTATGTTTAATACTTTGACAATAAGACCTTCATATATTGCCGATTTCGTCCTTAGAGTTTTTGGGTTTTATACTTTGGCCACAAAACATTCATATGTTGATAGATTTAAGCTCTATATTTTTTGGGTTTCATACTTTGGCCCCAAAACTTTAGTATATTGACAGGTTTATCCTTAAATTTAATGTTGACAGATAATAATTTCATTCTAGTTTTGGTTAAGCTACATGTTCCCCAATCACCTCACTCGGTTTATTTGTTTTATCTTGTTTGAGACCTTATATAGCCCATTTTTCGTTATATACAAAAATAAATATTGAATAAAAATGTTATATAGCCCATTTTTTGTTTTGAGTCCTTTTTTGTTATATATATAATAAATATAATTAGAAATGTTATTATACGTTTTAACTTTAAACAAAATACACGTTTATTTGTTTCTTTTTGTTTTTTGGTGTTTAAAAAGTCTTATATCTAAACTCTCTTTTTTAAACACTTTTTTTATATCTAAAAAAAACTTATATGTATTTTATCAAGTTTATATTTTGTTTTAATATATTCCATTACAAAACATGTTATAATTTTAAAAAATATATTCGAAATTTGTAAGTCTCTTTGATAAGCATTTAAGCATTAACTATGTAGTATTATTGTTTTTATTTTCATATGGTTATAATTTTTAAGCAAAACCAACATATCTTTCAATTTATAAAACAAACAAAGAAACACCAAAAATAACATTCTTTGGAAAATCACTATCCAAATAACTAATAAATAAAATATACATATAATAAGTATATAGAAACTTTAGAAAATCACTATCTCGAATCTGTATTCTAACAGTTGTAAATTCATTTTCAAGAAAGAACAAGAAACTCAATTTGATTAAAAGAAAAGAAACTTACACGTCCATGTTCAACATAACAAAACTTCAGAGGAATGCTTTCACATTGTCCTTCAAGTTCCTCAATCTGTTTCTTGGTTGGTGGGTTGCCACTACAATAGACAAAAAAAAAAAAAAAAAAAAAAAAAAAAAAAAAAAAAAAACAATTTTGAGAATATGAATTAGGATGATTTATTTATCAAAGATAACAAAATATGAATTTATTGTTAGGAAAATATAACCCAAAATTGTTCGAAAGAACAAAAGTATAAAGTTCTTGATTGTGGCCCGGATTATACATTGATTGCAGCAAGGGAGAAAAGACGAAGCAGGAGAGTAAGAGAGGAAGAGATTGATTTCGTTTCATTCGGTGTGTTTAACCGGTCACATAGGGATTGCATATATACTACCCAATGTAACTGATGTCATTAAAACGGAATCGTAACTGTCACAATTAAATAAGAAAATTAATCAAAGAATCAAAACCGAAATTTGCAATAGAAAAAAAAGGTCCTTGAACTTTTATGGTCGACCAATGGTGCATTTGTGTCCAAAGGATGCGCGCTCACATACAAGTTCAGTGGTCTGAAGCCAATTTGGCTCGCATTTGCACCCCCTGTGTGCGCACGCAAAAGAGAACATTGGTTCTAATTAGTCTTATAAAGGTAGCTAGTCTTTATAGTTATAAATCAAATTTTTTTCCTTCCTCCACCAATGTGAGATGAGTTTTAAAAACCTACTTAACTCCTTTATCTTCTCTTCAATTGCCTTACTTTGAGAAGTGATTTCTCATTCATTTTTAATCCGTTTTGGACGTGTGATATATCAAAACGTAGATATCACGGAGGAGAACACAAATATATAATCAATAACCCGTTTTGATTATATTTAGAGTATTAAATTTGTGCTTAAAAATGGAGAAAACCCATTTTTGGAAATTAATAAAATTCATTTTCCAACATTTATAAGGTCGTCATCTTACCTAATTATGCAGAGAATAAAGATCAGATTGCCTGGATTTGACTTTCTAAACTTGCTATTTGGAGGATAAACATCAAAAACCAGTCTTTTACTCACTTCATTTATCTCCATACTACTAAACAACTCTATTATAGAACTTTTTTCTTCACTTTTACCATGTTTTATGCTCTAACAAACACCATGCCTCTTGATTATATAACCTAATGACTTAAGATGCCTGTAAACCTCAAATGACTCCCATGAAGATCCACCTACACCTTCTGTGAAACGACCCAAAAATTTCGTTTTTCAATATAATCAAAACCATAATATGAGTATCATAACAAAAAAGAACATACGCGATGTATCCCAATCATAATAAAATACTGTGCGGAAAACGGTGTCATAATATGTCAAATCCAAAACAACTAAAACCATCCCCAGGATAAAAGCTAAGTTGTGGTGTATGCGATGCTATCACCCCGAGCTCTTCCCTTTGCTTGCGGAAGTACCTGAAACCAAAACTAAAACTGTAAGCACGAAGCTTAGTGAGCTCCCCCAAACTACCACATACCATACATTAAGATATAAACACATATTGGGCCTCGCCCACAGCATCGGGCCGAAGCCCGGAAACTGCATCGGACCGAAGTCCGGAACTAACTGCATCGGACCGAAGTCCGGAACCGACTGGGACCTTGTCCCCTGCATCGGACCGAAGTCCGGAACTAACTGACTGAACATGGCATAGCATAACACATCAACTAGCATGAACACATATACGGCATACTACATCGGGCCGTAGACCGGAACACATAACACTTAACGCATAAAACATAGCACACAAATCCTGTTCGAGCCACGAAGGCATCAAACATACTAGCTACTGCATCGGACCTAAATCCGGAAACTACTGCTAACTGAACGGGCCGGCATTGTGGCCTTAGACCCGTTCCTACTGGAAGGAAACTCACCTCGCAAGCTGGCTGCTGAGTGTGTGGCTCGGGAAGCTAACGGTTGCTGCTCCTGAATCTCTTCGGCTACAAGTCCATAAACACACTCAATCAAATACTAAACACTGCGCTTGGGGTAAAATGACTCTTTTACCCTTGGTCAAAGTCAACTCTCTTTTGGGCTGACTCGCCGAGTTGGGCCGCCCAACTCGCCGAGTCCTACTCTCACTTCTCAGTTCTGCACGCTGCTACTCGTCGAGTGTGGCATCGACTCGACAAGTACCCACTTGATCCAAGAACTCAGACAATCTTCATCCGACTCGCCGAGCCGTATGAACAAACTCGACGAGTTGTTCTTGATCTTAAGAAGATTGCCTTGGACTCGCCGAGTTGTATGAACAACTCGCCGAGTCCCTCCATCACTGAGTCTACCCTCAACTCGCTGAGTCCACTCTCTAACTCACTGGATCCACTTGACACTGATAAAAATGAAGGAATCGGGAACTCGCGACCCAACTCGCCGAGTCGTACTTCCCGACTCGCCGAGTTGCCGCCATGCAACTGATTTTTACTCGATTTTGTTTGAATCCAACACATACAATTGATAGATCTAAGTCCAATAAGCTGATTTACCACGTAAAGTTTCCAACTTTACATGTACAACCTCATGAATAAGGGAAATAAGGCTAAAAGATGCACAAAATGGGTAGATCTATGGTTAATATGCAAAGTAACTCCAAAAAGGCAGTAGATCTGGGCTCTACAACACCCAATCATTCAGATCTAAAGATATCTCGACTTATTAAGGCATTCATGCAAACATAAGGCTTGGAACAAGCATCAACTAGATCCTAGGAGAGCTCTAATGGAGGTTTAAAGCATATAACAAGAGGGGAAATCCGAAAATACCTCAAATAACTCAGATTTGCCCTTGGATCTTTGCACTACAACTCTTCTCCTTGCTCCTTTCGTCTTCTCCTTCTTCACACCTTCACAAAATGGCACAAAAACACTTATAAGCTCTCAAGGTGGATTAGGGTTTCTCTCACAGTGTTCTCAGGGTGAGGGAGGCGAGAATGGGGCTATAAGGTGACTTAAATAGTGGGCAACCCGGGGATTTAGGGTTTCACCCAGACGGATGGACTCGCTGAGTCAGGGATATGGACTCGCCGAGTCCCCGACTCACGCGTGCTCGAAGTCGCGACCCTACTCGGCGAGTCAGGCTATGAACTCGCCGAGTCCCTCATGCAAAACTTACAACAATTACCAATGAATTAACATACCGGGAACGGGTCGTTACATTCTGCTACCTTTTTATAAATATCTTCAAGTAGAATACATTTATCCTCATCATCTAACAGATGCAATGCCCCTATCTCTGCCAAAAACCTACACATTATCAAACATTTTATAACATGAAACCAACAAGTTGTAAAGTATTAAGTTTTTTTGTCTCCTTTTACTTACAATGTATCTTCAAGAAAACTATATAGCTTCCCACCACGAACTATCCCTGTTGTTGTCCACAATTTCCCTTTATTACTAACAATCTCAGCCATTCCCAAATCTTGTTTCCAACGAGCCTTTGATATATTTTTCCTAAATAAGAAAATTACACACGATGTTGTAGGAAAACTTGATAAGAGAAAGAGTTAAATGAGAGAGAGAGCACCTAAACTGCAACTTGGGAAAATCACTATATGCATATCAATGGTCCTCATTATCACTATCAGGTGCAGTTATGTCTGAATCACTTGATCCACCTTCCCAATCTTCGATTTCCATGATTGAAATGATGCTTATGAAGATGGCACCAAAGCTTCAGAACAAGGAGCAGATTCTGAAAACGTGGAAGAAACAGATTTAGTCAAAGCAAAAGAATTTCAATGTGATATTAAGAATTATAACCCTAGATGAGAATTACTCGAAGAAGCCACTGTGAGTTTCAAATTCTAACATAATATCAAAAATCCAATTGCAATGAAATTAAGTAAAATACAATATTGAAGTTCACCATTGTATTTTACTTGTAATTTATTGCAATTAGACTTTTCAATTTTATCAATAAAGAGTGAACTCCTAAAAAATCATAAATTTAAAAGAAAACCGTGAGCCTGAGAGGCTGATAGAGTCGAGATGGAGATAGAGATGGAAAGTGTTAATACTGTGCAATATCAATAACCAAGAGCTTCAAGAAACATGAATTTTATGTTGCCAATGGTGAATTAAGGTCAAATTTGTTTTTGATATTGGAATTGCCTAGCTTTCAAAGCCTTTCAACAACACATGAAGACCCATCTTACAAGTGGGAGTGATTCTTGACATGGAATCATGGGCAGGGAAGGTCATTTATCATTGCATCACCATGGCGATTAACCAAGGATGCCAAAGGAGAACCACTCCTTGCCTTGTCCATTGTTCGTGGACATTCATCTCTGGATCTTTTGAAGAACACATAAATCGATTCTCAATAAGCATGAAGATAATCAGTAGGAAAAGACACCCAATTGTTCTACATAGCATAGAGAGAGAGAGAGAGAGAGAGACACTCACCTGGCACACTCGATTAAGAAGACGAAGGCGTGAAGAATATGCAATAGTTATTTGAGAAGGGGGAGCATCGGGCGGTTTTTTGTTTTTCGTTTTTTTAGTTAGGTCTCGTTTAATAGTTTTTTTACGTGAAAGTGTTGTATCGGAAACTTTTCTGACTGGGAAAGAAAATATTTTGTTTGATTATACATCTGATTGACTGAGTTGAATAATGAAAAATGACAATATTACCATGATTTTCTATATTGTGATGAATAAAGTTACTGAATAATTATCGAAACATATAAATTGTCATACAAAATCAAAATTACACAATAATCATTTAGAAATCCAAACAGAATGTCGATTAAGTTGTTTTAAGTTTTTTTTATTATTATTTTCAAGTTGATGCTACGTTGTTATTTGTTCTAGAAATTATAACTTTTTTACAACTCAATATGTGATTCTTGACATGTTTTATGTCTGATAGTGGTGGGATTAATTATTTTTTTGAAATATATTAGGATAATGGTGGTGTTGTCTATAAAAATGATTAATCCAATAAAAATGATTTGAAAAAATTAACTAAAAGAAATTAATAATCCAATAAAATAATATTTATTAATATATAAATATTATATAGTTATAAATAATATTTATTAATATATAATAATCCATTAAAAAGTAATCCATAAAAAGGAAATAAAAAAGAATTATTTTAAAGAAATTGATAATCAAATAAAATAATATTAATTAATACATAAATATTATATATTAAAACTAATATTGATTAATATATAATAATCTAATAAAAAAATTTAATTTATTTAAAAGAAATTAATAATCCAACAAAGAAAGAGACAGATTTTGGGGTATAATTGTGTTTCCAGCTTATTCAGTCATAAAGATATGGTTTTTGAGCTTTCTAGGAAAGACCCATTTTTTTGTGTATATCAAATAGTCTTTCCGGTCCATTAAGCTAAAAAGATATATTTGAAGCTGGAAAGATATCTATCAAACAGGGACGTAATTTGTTTTGAGTACACCTGCATATTTGCAGTTTTGGATCGGTCTCGAAACGGTCTGGACTTTTGTGGTCGGCCTTAGAGCGTTCCTATCTTTTTTCGGACCGGTCTTGTTAGGTCTCGAGACGGTCTTTTTTCGATCCGATCCTTTTTGGGACCGGTCTCAATCTTTTTCAGTCTGGTCTCGCAGTATTTCCGTGTGTCTTTTTATGTTTGGTTTTTGGGTTTTCGGGTTTTTCAGCCCGATTTTGGTATTTGTTGATTTTTTTAGTTTTAGTTTTAGTTTTAGTTTTAGTTTTGTGTTTTTCCCTCAATAAATGTGATTAGCATCAAAATAATACATTAAACTTTATTAAAACGATACACTAAAATTTAATTAAAAAAAAAAATGAAGTCAGATAGTGTGTGATTAAAAATTGTGTAGTTAACACAAAAATTATATATTTATGAACTTTGGCTAGAAGTCTTTTTTGAGATCGGTCTCAGACCGGTCTTGGGTCGGTCTCGGACCGGTCTTGTGTCGGTCTCGAAACGGTTCAGTGGACCAGTCTCAGAACAGTCCGGCTTTTCTCGGATAGCCTTAACCAATCTTTTTTCAATCCAGCCTAGTCTTAAACTGATCCAATCTCGGTCTTTTTTTGGGTTCAACCCGAGATCCTTTTGTGCAACTCTAGTTTTGAGTTGGTCTTCCAAACCCAATTGAATAGCATAAAATTGGTTTTTAGATTGACCGAATAACATAAAACCATTTGAAGTGGGCTAAAAGATGAAAGCCCAATTAAATTGATTTTAAAAAATAAAAAATAAAAAAATCGTCTTTTTTCATAATAGAAACTTTATGATTAAGAACCAACCCATTTAACATAGCTAAAAAATAAAAAAATAAAAATAAAAATCATCAAAAACAGAAAATTTAGTTTACACTTTTTACACCAATATAAATCCTAAGCCATAACCCTTCGAAAATTCTAACCATAGTTGTTTCATTGTGTTTGTCCAAGTTTTTAATGACACTTGATATTATTATTGTGTTTGTTGTTTTTTTTTATATGTGAAAGGTATTTGTTTCATTATAGTTTTGGGTTGAGGTATTCGCCATTAGAGTTATATAGTGTCTTTCAAAACTTTTTCCACTTTGGAATCCTAATGATTGAGAAGTGAAATTTCATACAATAGATACATGGTTCAAACATTAGCACATCTAAAATATTATTAGTGTTCATTGATTGACTTCTCATATAAATCTTAGGGCATATTGATATGGGCTACTCAAATGGTAGGATTTACCAATTTTTATTGCATTTTCCCACTTCAAATGAAAGTAATGGATCATGATTATATAACTTATTCATTTAACACCTCCTACGAAAACACCTTACATTTAATACCATAAGGTTAACATTCTCCAAACTTTTTCCTAACGAATTTCCTTATTATCAGATGTCTTCACGTAAAACCGATTTAGTCGATCTGAAGCCCGCTTAACCTATGATAAATACCAAATTAAAACTTTTACTCAATGTGAATAATAAAACACCTACAAATAATAATAATAATAATAATAATAATAATAATAATAATAATAATAATAATAATAATAACCTTATAAGATTACCTGGTCATCCCAATCGGTTGTCCATACCATATAAACAAGCGCAAATGTTTGTGTCACGACACCACCAATCATTCCAATCCATATACCCTACTTACATAGCCAACCAAAAACTATCATAATATAAACACTTATAACTAAGTATTTTTCTCATAAGGGTTGCATACCTTTACTTTGAGGTTAGTCATGTAACCAAGCAAAGCTCCCGCTGGAATACCAATCAGATAGAAGCAAACAAAGTTCACCATCGCTACTCTACCTTGCATTCCCGCTCCAATCGCCACCCCTAAGAAATCATATTAGTGTTTCTGCAAAAATGTTATTCTTCAAACAACCTATGAGTTGGCATAAACCATGCCCAACCCTAACATCATCATATCAGATATATATTAGATTACATCATTCGGAGTCCAATCTCACACTATAGTAGGTTATAGTCCAATGCTTGACTTTCCAGAAGTAGAAAGTTTAAAGTTGACTTTAAAAAAGTAGAAAAGTGACAAAGTTGACTAATATACCTGAGAGAACAGGGGAAATGCTATTGAGTAAAACTGAGAACGAAAGGAGCAAAGAAAGGTCTGATACGATATTTGCGATTATTTCATCATCTGTAAATAAGTAGGCGAGTTTTTTCCCAAAAGTTAAGCAAATAATGAAGAAAAAGACTCCAATTGCAATAGAAGTTCCCAATAAAACTTGAATCGAAAACTTTGTTGCTTTGGCATTTTCTCTCCCTAATTCATTTGCAACACGGACACTGCATATTGTTCACCAACATAATGTTCATCAGATACACATGTAATGTATAGGAAAAAGCATGAATTTAAGTCCCCTTTTGTTACACAAAACATGTTGTATTATGTTTGGAATTCATTAGTTTAAACCGAGACCGTTCTCAATAAGACAAAATTTGTATTTTTTTTTTTTTTTTTTGTGTCTCGGTTGAAAAAGTTATGATGGGATTAGCTCTTTAATTCTTGTTTATGTAAAAGATGTATATACCCTTCTCATATTTATCATTGAAAAAAATCGTGCATTTCTATATAAACCGGTCTTAATGAACTTTATGAATGGTTTGATACGTTACGTACCATGCAGCCCCTAAGAAACCAAGACTGATCATGAACTCCCATACATTAATGTTGAGGCTGCAAAAGTATCAAGAATTAGTGATTTGTATGCAAAAATAGAACTAAAACACATATGAAAGCTCAAATTTTGATACCATATTGAGAAGGCGGATATTGCAATCTCTGCATTTTCCATATACCCTGCTAATAAGACTAGCACAGCATTGTACCATAACTCCAAGCTACAATTACAAAAATAAAAAAGTGTTTTGCTTAGTTTTACTGACCAAAAAATGCACATTTTTTATATGCAAACTCTACATATATAGAAAGTAAGATGTTTTTATTTTACTTGATGGCGGAACACAACCTTGCATTACGAAGCTATATATGAGTGCTTTTATGACATAATAAAGAACAAGAAGATCACATAACATAGAATATCGGGAAAATGATGCTTTCCCTGTTGAGTCCTATTTTTCAAATTTAGCCTAATTTTGTCAAGAGTGTCGTCATTTTTTAAATATTTTTCAAACACACTTTTATCCATATAACACTTAAAAAAAAAAAAAAAAAAAAAAAAAAAAAAAAAAAAAAAACACTATTTTCTTTTACCTAACAAGAGTATATGACAATTTTACACTTGTGTTTGAAAGTGATGTCGAATATAATTGTAAAGTAATCGAAAAAACGACTTAATAAATAATGACAAAGTTTTTCTCATTACAATTATAACACTCATTTTACACTTGTGTCTAGAAATGATGCTAGTTTTAAGAGTAATCATATTAACGTTAAGTCTCAAAATTAACCAGTTTCATATGAAAGTTAAAATCGTAAAAGACAAGGTTGTTCCTAACTTACCAAACCATAACACCAGAAGATATTGAAAGCTTCACAACAGGAAACAAATCCTTAAAAACAGCTGATGTAAACCCCTTCCACGAATAAGGACACCAACCACCAAATATATAAACAAACTCTCCGATCACAAGAAACCATGATGACATAGACAAAGCAATCATTGCCCCGCCAACTCCGAGGTTCAACTTATACACGAAAAGCAACGACAAAGGGATATGAATCCCGAATTGAAAAATTGAAAGCCATGCAATCACCATGTTCTTCGATTGTGCTTGTAGGTACATTTGTATTGTGAGGCTAAACACGAAATTGTAGACGAAAGGGATGAACCATAGAGAAATGTGTCTACCGCTGTTT